ACGAATTGCGTTCACTTAGGTCGCTTTAAAAGCACGAATAAGTTGTGAAAATTGAAGTAAAATTAGACTTACAGCTAAGGTATATTGCAACCAAAATAAAGGCCACACCATCTTGGTCTACATACCTTCGGTTTATCTGTATTTGATTGATTAAATCAAATCCGAAATTACTTTACTATGATTCTTGCCAAAACATGACTCCAATTCCTCCTGTATGCATTTCACGCTAATGCAAATAACTGGTATGAGTATTGGCTATCGAAACTTTTGGGCAAGTAATTTAATCTTATTATAAGTGCTTCTGCCAGCTTTGCTATTGTTTACAAAATTCAATTATTTTCATTAAATTCTCAGAATGAATCGAGGTAGATTCAAACAAAAGTATTTAGTTTTAGCACTAGCGAAGATTTTCAGATAATTGAGGGTTAGAACAAGTCAGCCAACGAAAGATGATAACTTAAATTTAATGTATCTGATGCTGTCCTATTTCCTTCCTCTTTCATCTAAAAAAAGATGCTATTTTCGCATTACTAGGTTTATACTAATATTCATAAAATTGCATCTTAGTTACTTCTTACATCCATTTTTCTTTATGTGGCCTGAATAAGGATTCTCATCAGTTTAGTGTATCTTTTGGAGAGGCTTTACTAGGTATAAAGGCTCCTGGGAGAATGAATGTTCAGAACCATTTTGCATCAGGCCAAGACTGCTATTTTTTCAGATGAAACGTTAGCAAGATAAAATGACAACGCTTATATCTGCTTGCGCCTCCACTTTTACCATAGAGTCGACGAATAAATATCACCTCGAATAATAATTACTCTTTAATCATGTGGTCTTTAAAGTATGGCAAAATATAACTGATGAATGTGATTATATTTATGTGCCACCCTTCCAATACGTTTCGAGGAATTCCATATGGGGCAATTTTACACCTATATTTACATCGTTCGGTAAGGTGTCAATTTCTTTAGCAATTAGGCACTTATCCATTACTATTTTTCTATATGTCATGATTTAGCTCATCTGCAATATGAGCTTTATTAAGACCTAAAAATATTTGAGCTCTCCTTTTGAGTTTTTTTATTTATACTACAAATAAGTATTCATATAAATTTGCTTACAGTTCCTTTATCTTGTTTCATTTATTACTTCATTTTTTGTATTAAATTAATCCTTGCAGGAAGGAAAGCATAATTATAAGCGCTCTTCCTATGGGCACAGCATAGTAATTGATCCTAATGGGCAGATAATTGCCGAACGCTCGGAATCTGGTCCAGGACTTCTGATGGCACACATTCCTGCTCCCGATAATTCTATGGTCCCGCGGCTTATTGGTGAAAATATGCTAGAATCTCGTGTGGATGCGCATTTCGAGGATCCAGTCGATCAGATACGTCGGCAATTGCCAGTTGCTCATCATCGTCGCTTTGACCTCTTTCCACAAGTAGACTGTGGTCATATACGAGGTGATTTCCAACCCTATTGTCGAAGTATAGCGACTGATAATTCCTTGTTTTTTTTCTCAAATGCATTTCAGAATAACCGGGGATCA